TTCCGGAACGAGAAGCCAACCAGGCCGGCTGCAGTCCGCTGGTGCTTGAGGTACAGGTCCACAACAGGGTATTGACATGGTACGCAGGGCGGGGGGGGGGGGCAGGAGGAGTTTTTGTTCCTCCATGCCACCATCAATGGTCGCATTGGCGCTAGATCGCACATTTGCCTGTTGTTTAATGACAACCCACAACGAGAAGCAAGACGCTGCGTTTTTTACTTCTTCTCGTCGATTCATTGGCGAAGCTGATGTAATAGCTTGACTGACGAGATAAATAGCCATGGTGGATCTCGTCTTTCCTTCTGATACGGCTGACGCATTGGAATTGGATGACAGGTTGATTGGGCGGAGACAGGCGCTGCTCGACTCGATTTGATATCGCATTGATGGCTGGCCCCGAAGAAGAAAAGCTGCCGCAGCTGCTTGATCACCGCCTCAAACAATAGGGGTCACTCGCCTGGCTTCGCCCAGGAAACCCTGCTGCCATGGATCGGAAGCATGATCCAGCCAGCATGTACGTGCTGCCAGCCACAAGGTTGGTCAGAGGAGGGTGCTCTTTGGGAGAAGCCGGCGGCCAGAATCAAAGGTTCGGAATGAGATAGTTCATGTCTCCGAAATTCATTCGTCGACTGCCTGGTCATGGTTGGACGGGCTCTGTCGGGTAAGGGCCCCCTGCCTCGCCTGCCTCGCCTGCTTCCTTCCTTGATCGAAGGTGCCCAGTACATGTACTCACTTGGCCGATTGGCGCCCGGTGACCGGGCGGCAAGTGAAGTCGAGATTCGCGAAAGGGACGAGTAGTGGGGGGAAGGCAAGGCCCAGCAACAGTAGCAGGTACAGTGGAGAATGATCAGCGTGTGTTCCTGACGGAAAGACACGCTAGAGCAGCCAAGGCTGTGAAAGAGCCGGGATAGGCAGGGGTGGCAAGGGTGGGTGCCGTGGGATGAGGTGAATGGCGCTAGTGCCTTCCCAAGAACAGCACATGGGCTCCACTTTCCACTCAGTACCCCTGTCGATGCAATTTCAAAGCTCCGACCGACCTCACGCTGTCACTCAACCACAACCATTCCACCATGGCACTCTGCCTCGGTGTTCCCTCGACGACTTTCGTCTGAGACCTTTGATTCGATCGTCTGTCCCTCTGGAGAGCTCTGGGGAGAGAGAGAGTGTGTGTGTGTGTGTGAGAGAGAGAGAGAGAGAGCACAGCTCAACCACACACCTCCGTTGGCATCACAGACCCCGTGCAACCGCTGAAGTTCATAGGCCGCATCGACCAACGACACAGCCTTGGCTCTGCTTTTCAGAGACCACAAATCTGAGTGGGCCGTGTGCAGACAACGCCAGCTAGACCATGGCCAAATTACGACGACGCGCGAGGCTCGCGTCTCTGTTTGTCTCTGTCTCTGTCACTGTTCCCCATTCTATCTTTCCAACGCCAACATGCGCCTATGAACTCTGTTCGCCATCCATCCAAACGTGCTGGTATTCCTCTGTACAACTTCCTAGGTTGGCCTGTGATTGCAGACACTGCCACCACGCATGACAGTGGGAAGACGCCTCTGGCCTGCTCCCTGATGCCACGGTTTGATCGCCTTCGGAGCACGGCAAACCAAGGCACGTCCTCTGTCCCTCCAGGGCTACCACGGCTCAAGGGCCAGGGTCGTTCCCCTCACCCTCATCCTTCTTCGTCCCAGACCAAGCTCCCTGCCTGCCCGCCCGTTCACCCCTCCCCTCCTCTCCTAGCCTCTACCCGCCCCTCCTCCAAGGACCGAGACCAGCTAGTCTCACCTTCTTTGCATCTCTGGTGGCGTCCTCGTCCCCAAGATCCGTCCAGATCAACCCCCCCCCCTCATCCCCCCTAGTCACCTATTCTCTGTCGGCTGCTAATACCGCTCCCCGTCCGCTCGACATTTTCTGATCTGCTCTGCTCTTGTCCTTGATCCAGCACTGAGTCTCTCACCTTCTTTTCACCTCTCCAGCTTCGAATCCAACATCTTCGCCAGTCCGGCTACACCCGCCACAGTCGAATATGCTTTGGCCTTGATACCTCCCCCCCCCACTGGCGACATCTCGGCGGCCTCTCCAACCTCTTGGACAATACCCGACCTGTACAAACATCCCTCTCCCCAAAGCCACTGTTCGACATGATGTCCAAAGGAAATCGCCTGTTGGCCTTCTTGTGCCTTGTTCTTCTCTTCCACGTTGCTGCATCCCGCGTCTTGGACTTGGAGCCTCGACAGCAGGATGGACCGCAGGATGCCTCGCCATCACTTTCACCCTCACCCACACAGCGAGCTTCCCAGACCGGTGAGGTAGCCCCCACTACGACCAATGGGTCCAGTGACGACGAAGAGACTGGCTCGGCGTCACCAAGAGGCTCAGCCACCAGTACCTCGGATAATGCATCGGTAGCCCCGACGCCCTCTGGCCTCTCCGAAGACGACAGTAACATTGATCTCTTCAACGGTAAGTAGCTCACGGTATGCATGTGCTGATGCATGTGCTCAACCTCACCGATGGCTAGCCGAATCTGATGGCTGATCACCTTACAGCGACCATCCCTGAGGGCCAGCTTCCATTGCAGCCTGAGATCACGCCGGGCTGGGCTGTTTCAGGAGTCCTTCTACTTCTCTCGGGCGCTGTGTACACCCTCATTGGGATCAAGAACACATGGCTTCACACATTCTTTTCGACCGCTTACCTTGCGAGCCTGGGTACTGCCGTTCTGATCGTCTACGTGATGGAGCCTCCCATCAGTAGTGGCATCCAAGGTGCCTATGTTGTTGCTGTGGCCTTGACCGGTCTCATCCTTGGTGGCGTAACAACATTTTTCAAAGAGGTCACTGAGGGCCTTGGTTGCATGCTCGGCGGTTTCTGCCTCAGCATGTGGCTGCTTTGCCTAAGGCCTGGTGGACTTTTCCACGCATCGTCGTCAAAGATTGTCTTCATCGCCTGCCTCACCCTGGGCAGTTTCGCCTTCTACTTTAGCCGCTACACCCGCGACTACGCCCTCATTGTATGCATCGCCTTCAGTGGCGCTACTGTAGCTGTCCTCGGTATCGACTGTTTCAGCCGGGCCGGTCTTAAGGAGTTCTGGGCTTACATCTGGGATCTCAACGACAACATTTTCCCACTCGGCGCGACCACCTACCCTATGACAAGAGGAATTCGGGTAGAAATAGCCGCTATTATTCTCATCTTCCTTGCGGGCATCATCTCTCAGATGAAGCTCTGGAGAATCATCAAAGAACGCCGTGCTGAGAGGGCCGCCAAACGAGCCGAAGGCCAGCGCAACCTGGAAGCCGAAGAAGCCAATGTTGGCCGGCAGATCGAGGCTGAGAATGCACGTGAACGGCGCGAGTGGGAGAGAGCGTACGGCAATGGCGAGGGACAAAGCACAGCAGGGTCCTCCGACTCGGCCACAGACTGCGAGAAGCACCCTGAAAAGGCAGTCGACGGTAAGTCCAGCAGAGCGCAGTCGACGGTTCAAGTACAAGCTATCGAGATGGACGACATGAAATCTACGGGATCTGCTGAAGCTCCCACCCAAAAAGCGCCCGGCGGTATCATGGTCTCGCCCGAGGAGAACGACGGCATCGTCACCGTCAGGGTAGCACGAGACGACGACACTCTACCGGCTGCCATAGGCGAGGGAGGTGAAGATCTGGACGAGAAGCGCCCGCCTCCCCAGGACCAGGGTGTGCAAAACATTCAGCCAGGAGCTCATATCGCTGGTTATTCATCTGCAGAGCCCACAGCCCCTGCACCGAATGTCGTTCCTCTGCCATTCAAGGTTCCCAACGAAGGTGAAAAGGGGCTGAAACAAGATGATGACCGGTCATCGGTGGCCACTTTTGCCGCTGACGAGGTAGAAGATGCTCGGGATGTCAACAAACGGCACTCGATGGCGAAGCGTCTCTCACAAAGCTCTATTCAACTGCTCAGGAGAGTTTCACACCGTACAGCCCGTTCTATTCAGCACGAACCTAGTCACAGCCAAGAAGAACTTGTCATTCCCAGGGCGCCCCGAGGCGATGACGATGGATCGGTGGCTGCCACTATGGATATCGCGAGCCTTGATGGTGACGATCGCTCAGTGGCGGGAGAGAGTCACCGTAGCTTCGAGATCAATGCCGAACTCGCGGACAAGGACAAGACGGATCCGACGAGTGGAAACCAGAAGACACCGACCGCCGCTCAGCAGCCAGACGTCGCCTCCACACTCGCCGACAAGCACATCTCCACCGCGGAGACTGTTGCGACAGACATTTTGAACGCAACGGATATGGAAGGGGGCGGCAAAAACGAGGGCACGGGTCCGACTGCACCAGCGAATCGCTTGAGTATGGCAACTGCCGTAGAAGCAGCACAAGAGGAAGAGACATTGGCCGCGCGCTCCATACAAGAATCGCCTAAGGCTTCAGTCAAGGGCAAGTCGGTGGCCTCAGTGGAGTCTACGCCAGCCAGCCTGACGCAGGAGCGCCTCCCCATTGCGTTGTCACGCGTCGCCATGTCATACCGGACGAACGAATGGGCGAAGCATCTGAGCCATGCCGACATGCCGGAGCCGGACACCCTGCAGCTCAACGATTACGCCGCTGAGGAGATCATCGCCAACCCAAAGAACGAGGTCGCAAGGCCTCTGAACGTCGAGGAGTTGCAGCAAACAGCAAACACTGGAGCACCCGCGCCCAACCCACCTCCTCAGTTCGACCCTCAATCGTTGACTGCTTTGACCCGTGCCGACTCGCGTCAGTCCAGCAAGAGCCCTGTAGTGCCCAGCGGTGCTCGCGACACCATGATGACGTCGACAACTGCGGCCTCGGGTGTATCTGGCCTGTACAAACATTCGAATCAATCTGGCCCGTTGAATCATCAAGCCTCGGTGACGGGTATCAGACGATCATCAACGAATCTCCATATACAACCCATTACCGAGGAGGCCCAGGACGTGCAGGCAAAGCGGCGAAACAGCTCTGGCGCAGACTCGTTTGTGCCATCGTCGCCCGTGGCAGCGTTTGTGGCGGACCGGCCGCCTGTCCCTGGCGTGGTAAGCTACTCGAGCCCTCAAACCTTGCTAGGACAGCGAGAGATGTTCCTTCGTAACAAGTCGAACCCATCCCTGCCCAGCATGATGACTATGCCCGACGTGCAGGGCGCGGCACGCACGCCGAGCGAGTCGGGCTCTCTGTACAACTACCCGGCCTACGCCTCTCAACCCTTGCCTCGGGCTCGGGACAACGACGACATGCCCATGGCGCAGCGCAAGGAGCTCATGCGCCAGAGTGGGCTTCTGCGGTCCTCGGGATCCTATGGATCGCTGCCGCCAGGTGCCGTCACGTACACGCCGCCGCCAGCAGCATCAGCTGAATCCCTGGCATTCGACTCGCACCAGCCCCAGAGGTATTCGACTCTGCCGTCCGAGGCGGCTCGGAACTCGCAACTGGCCAACTTCCGGCAATCAGTTCAGCAGGATCTTCGTGCAGGCACCCCGCTTGGTGGGCAAGGCAGCGGTCGTGAGACGCCATTCCACAGCGCGCAGGCAACAGGCGCTGGCGGTAATGACCTGAAACGGAGCCTCGATGTGCAGCGCAGCCTGTTGTTGAGCCAGAAGGAGGCCGAGGCGCAGAGGCGGGAGATGGAGCGCTGGGAGAAAGAGAGGGGCGACCGGGCGTTTGCTGCGAGGATGCAGAGCGGAGACCTCATGGAAGCGCATCGTGATATCATGCGACGCATGCAGAGCAAGGCAAATGTGAAGGATGAGTGAAGCGACAGGAACTCATGACGACATACTTTCAGTAATATCTTTGGTGTTTCTCATTTTGTATACTTAGATACCACGGCAGGAAATGCATCTCGGTGTTGGGATCTGGAGAACGGGGTATTGGCCCCTACTAGTCGAGGTTAAGGCCATGATATTGAAACGACATAATCAATGTTAATTCCGACGAACAGAACGTCTTGGCGCTGAGTGATACGCCGTCCACCAGGCCACGCCACAAGGAACTGTGCATCGTAGTCTGCACGGAACAAGACAACCCCGCCAACCCGATGTCGGTCGGCAACCCGGGTGTTGGCCGCGTGGGCCGGTAATAAACCGGGGTTTGTACCGCCCGAGAGGGAAGGAGGTGAGGGTGATCGTGATGCCGAGACGCCGCTGAGCGTCATTCATTACGCAAAAGCACGCCCTGTGTTTCTGCTCCATGCTCCTCCACCATTGCCATTTCCTCTTCACCTCTTTTGCAACTCGCAAACGTCGAGACCATCATGCCTCGGTGTCGTCGTGACTATGCCTAAGGACATTGAGCACCGAGATGGCCAACACGAGGCGGACGCGGAACACGACGTTCGAGAAACAGACGGCCGTGACGGGGCACCAGCAAACGCAGAGGCAGATGTGAAGAAGGAGGACGAAGATTCGAGAGAAGGCGAGGGCGAGGGCGAGGGTCATGATGAACGGGGCCCGAAGCCGACATGGCGCAGGGTCATTGGTTTTATCCTGGCGCAATGGCTCATCATTGGCTTCGGCCTCGCGTGCTTGTTTGCATACTTCTGGCCCCGTACGTACAGAAGGAGCCTCTCACGACACATCTGCTACAGAGAAGAAAATACATGGAAATACTGACGAGCAGATTGGCAGACGTCGCGGCCAAGGGCGGGCCCATCCGCTCCGAGTACAGCATCATCTACGGCGCCATCGCCGTCGTCTTCGTCATCAGCGGCCTTCAGCTCTCGCCCGTCAAGCTGCGCGAACACGCGACCAACTGGCGCCTTCACCTGCTCGTGCAGGGCATCTCGTTTGTTGCCATCCCCGTCGTGCTGCTGATCGTGCTGCACGTCTCGGTCGCCGCCGGCGCCCTGCGTGACCGCGTGCTCGACACGAGCGTCTTTGTCGGCATGCTGGTGACGGCGTGCCTGCCGACGACCATTGCCTCCAACGTTGTCATGACGCGCGCTGCCGGCGGCGACGAGGCGGCGGCCATCATCGAGGTCGTTCTCGGCAACGTGCTCGGCGCCTTCCTCTCGCCGGCGCTCATCTTCGCATTCCTCCCCAAGACGGCGCCCTTTGCGCCCTGGCAGCCCGCGAGCCCGTCGACGCTGGGCCCCATGTACGCCGGCGTCCTGCGCCAGCTGGGCCTCACGGTGCTGCTGCCGCTGGCCGCCGGCCAGATCATCCGCCGCTTCTTCGATGGGCCCGTCTCCTGGGCGCTCCGCGTCCTCCGCCTCGCCAAGCTATCGGGTGTCTGCCTCGTGCTCCTCATCTGGACGACCTTCTCCGGCGCCTTCCACACCGGCGCTCTGCAGGACACGCCGCCCGCGAGCATCATCTTTATCGTCTTCATGAACCTCGCCCTGTACGCCCTCTTCACCATACTGTGCTTCTTCGCCGCGCGGCCGCCCCTCGCTCTGGCGCGGCCCGTCAATGCCCGCGTCGCTGACGGACGCTTCTGCCCGCGGTTCCTGCGGCGCGCGCTGCGCG